AGATAAAAATGTATAATATTGAGTACTACATTCAGTTCCGGATCTACTAAAGAATTTCCCTTTTGCTCAGATCATGGAGACTTTTAGAAGACTGGGAGGCAGTGGGAAGGTCGGGATGGGTGCTTGTTTTCTTGTACGCATCTTTCTAAGCTGAGTTGAGAAAGCTTGTTACTGAGGTGGAACTGATAGGAAAAGCATTTTATAGAGAAAAGAATGCTTATGTAGGTAGTACTTTTTTTGGTTTAATATTAGTAGTAGTATTGTGAATTGAATGAAGGTTTTACAGATAAAGTTCAACAGTTTGACATTCAACAAATAACACACTTTGTTTCAGTCTTCTCAGTGGAACACTAGTCATCTGCTTCCGCACTGAGACTTCGGTTTCCCTCCCACCCACCTTCCCACCTTCTCCCCGTTGTTCTTAGGTATATGTTGTTCCTTTGAGTTTGAATGATTTGACCGCTCGTTCCGGAATTCATAGTGATCCTATCTTACTAGTTGTTACTGCTCCCCCTAGATACCTATCTGATGCTTGGCTGAAAGAGGGTGAGTTCCTTTCCAGACCTGAAGCCTGGGCCATAGTCTCACATTCCTCCAGTCTCTTTCAGACCAGTAGGCCCAGTCTTTTTTAAAAGAAATAATAATTTTGAGTTTTGTTCCACACATTATGCCGTTTTACACAGGACCTTCCAATGTGATTCCTTTCAGAGCAGTTGGTGCTGGTAGCTGGGAACCTTCTAGTACTTACTTCTAGTCTCAGTCACGGGGACTGATGCTCCCTTAGTCGGTTGGACTAGTTAATACTTAGCGTTTTTGAATTTCCTTTTATACCAGAAGTCTTGATTCCTTTTGTTGTTGTTAAGTGCCATCGAGTCAGTTTCGACTCATAGCGAGCCTGTATAGGGTTTCCAAGGAGCTGCTGGTGAGCTTGAACCACCAACCTTGCAGTTGAAACCAACCTTGCAGTCCTGCACAGTAAAACCACAGCACCACATTAACCTTCTCTTGCTTCGAAACAACAGTAAAATAACTTATTTGCTTTAACCTGTTGTTGTTGTTAAGTGCTTCTGGGTTGATTCTGACTCATAGTGACCTTGTATAGGGTTTACGAAGAGTGGCTGATGATTTGGAGCCCCCAACCTTGCTGTTAGCAGTCCAGTGCTTATCCTCCAGCACTACACTAGGACCCAAGACACCTATGTGGTTTTGCTTAGTGCCGTAGAGTTGGTCCCAACTTCATAGTGTTTTCAAGGAGCATCTCATGGATTTGAACCTCCAACCTGCAATTCAATCAGACCTTGCGGTCTAGTGCTTATCCTAAAATGCCACACACATATAATAGTTTCAAGGTAACCGTAGCAATATTACCAACAACCAGATTTCTAGATGCATTTTCAGATTTTGATGTCAGAAATCCCACTGTGAATGTAGAGTCAAAATTCCGCATCTTAGATTCAGTGGAAGTTTCTGTTGTTATTGTGGGAGGCTATGTCAACAACTTGATAACAATTCTGCTCATTTGTTTCAGTTTTTACACAATTGTGAGGTACTGGGTTTTTTTGTTTTGTATGATTCTGTTGTTTTTGTAAAATCCCATGTAATATTATGGAGAATACACTGCACCATAGGTTCGGTTTGAACTGCAAGGCTAATGGTTCAGATTGGCCAGCGGCTCCTTGGAAACCCTATACAGGGTCACTACAAGTTGGAACTTAGTCCACAGCACTTAACAACAAGTCGACGGCACTTAACAACAACAACAAAGTAAAACTATCAAATAAGAAAATCTCCTTTCCACTCCTGCTCCTTCCGGTTAATTAGTAACTTTGCATTCATTTGGGGTTTATTCTTCAATGATTTCTTATAGAAAAAAAAAAAATGTGTATAGTTATCTATTGCCATTGAGTTAATTCTGAATCATAGTGACCTTACATAGGGCTTCTGAGACTGCAAATCTTTACTTTTAGCTTTTTTACTTGCAATTCTATTTTTCCATAAACTGTTAGAAACCCTCTTATATATGTATATCACACACACATCAAAAAAAAGTAACAAGCTATAACCTGGCTGCTTTCCCCTCCCACTGTTTTTATTTAACTAAAACTTATAACCCTGAGCGCCCTCATTCCTTTTCTATGTGCCTTCATGTGGGTGCACGATAGTTTATTGTACTCGATTGCACAAACGCACTATAGTTTATTCATGATTCTCCTACTCATGGACACTCGTGGAACGTTCCTAATCTTTTTTGATGACAAATACTGTTGAGATGAGTAATTAATTCAGCCATACACCTACTTTTATTATTACTATTATTATCTTTGGGATAAATCCAGGTATGTATAATTTTGCTAGATAAGATCAAAAGGGATGGAGCCACCCAAATGGAATTTTGCTGATCTGCACAATGAGGAGTAAAGTGCGGAAAGAGCAGCCCTAAACCACCACCCAAGCCCGTCCCCAGGGCAGCCTCCCAGTAGCTTTAGGTAGAGACAGGTTTGAACTGGATCTCAGTCTCTCAGGAGCACCTGGGCCCTGGAGAAATTCCAGTTTCTTTGGCGGGAATGATAACCCATGAATAGGCTATCCATCCATGCACATCTCCGGCTCAGCAGACACTCTGGATGGTCAGTTTTGACAAAACACTTACAAAGGAATTCTTCCTTGATGCTTTCAGTTTGAAAGGAGCATTGCAAAAGTGTACAGCCTGTGAATGCTATTGTTAAGATCAATGTTCTATCTGACCCTGGTGATCTTCCTTTCCAAATGGAAGGAAAATGAATGTGGTTAGGATGCATTCAGTACTCATTCAACCAACATGCATTGAACACACCAGGCCAGAAATAAATACTGGAGCAGCCTACAGCTCATACTTCAGACATGGAATCAGGAGGGGCTAGTCCCTGGAGAAGGACATCATGCTTGATAAAGTGGAGGGTCAGCATAAAAGAGGAAGACCCTCCCTTCAATGAGATAGATTGGCACAGTGGCCGCATCAATGGGCTTAAGCATAGCAACAATTGTGAGGATGTAGCTGGACCAGGCAGTGTTTTGTTCGGTTGTGCTATGAATTGGAACCAATTCAACAGTCCCTAACAACAACAGCAGCCTACGGATCCGATTGAATCAAGCCTGTGGTTGTCTTAGGTTTGGCCCAGGCAGTGCTTCTGGAAAAAAAGAGAAGGATTTGTTGCTGTAACATTTAATCACTAGAGTATTTTCCATGAATATCAGACGTCTCACTTCTCTGGGAAACTTGATAGGCCTGACATTGGAGCTGAGGAAAGGCTGCCCCCTTGTGGTGGGAGAGCCCTACCAGTCATTCCATTTGCCTCCTGGGTCTTGGGAATCCTGCCCTAGACTGCACTGGGGGCAATGATGGCTCCAAGACAGAATTCTCACCTTCCATGTGGGAGACCCGAGTTAGATTCCCAGCCAGTATCTCTCATGCGGACTCCTGGTGTGGTGATGTGGGTTAATGCGCTGGACTGCAAAGTCCGTTTGAACCACAAGGTCAGCAGTTCAAGTTCACCAGTCGCTCCTAAGAAACCCTATCCAGGGTCGCAATGGATGGAAACCGATTTGATGGCACTTAACAATACTCCTAATACAGGGTATCAACCCCCTCTGTCACTGGGGGCTTGCGTTTTATGATGCTGCGTAGGGAGTTCTGGTGTGGCGCTGTGGGTTAATACACCAGACTGCAAAGCCGTTTGAACTGCAAGATCGGCGGTTCAAGCTCACCAGCTGCTCCTCGGAATCCCTATACAGGGTCACTGTGGGTCGGAATCGACTCAATGGCACTTAACAACAAGACTAGGTTCCAGTGGAGCTTCCAGATGAAGACAAACCAGGTGATCTACTTCCAAAAGTCAGCTAATGAAAACCCTATGGATCGCCGTGATCCAATCCACAGCCAATCACGGGGATGGTACAGGACCAAATAGCAGTTCATTCTTTTGTGCATGGGCTTCCTATGAGTCGGGGCCAACTCACTGACAGTTAATAGCAACAATCAAGACAAAACGCAGACCAAAACCCTTATGGTTTCCAAGGCTGTAAATCTTTACTGAGGCATGCTACCTTAGCTGTCTCCCACAGAGCAGCAGGTGGATTTGAACCACCGACCTTTCAGTAATCAACACCATACTTAATCCACTGCACTACCAGGGCTCAATCACGACAAAAGACCCTAAACTGCAAAATCCCTGAAGGCAGGGACCATGTCTCGTTTCTCTTTGGCTGCCCAGCATCCAGCCCAGCCGCACACGGAGCTCCCAGTGGTCCCTCAATAAGCATTTGTTGAATGAATAAAATATCTTTTGAATGCATGCATCAAATCATTTCCAATTTTAAAACTGTGCAGTTATAATATTGCCCTAATCTAGACCTTTGAGGCAGATGGGTGACACAAGTGTCCTAACTGGGTTATCCCACCCCCTAAATCCACTCATATGTCAATGAACTGACTGTGGCCCACAAATTCCTCACTCTGTAATTCAACCTTTCCTCGCTAAACGAATGCATACTCGACAAGAGCCCTAGGAAGATTTCAGGAGATCATGGGTACCAAAACGGTATCTGATACTTATCTTTTTTTCATCACAATTTATTGTTAATTTTTTATTGTGAATTGAGTGAAAGTTTACAGATCATCAGTTTCACATACTTCATTTCAGTGCAAAGGCTGCAAGCTTGGTTTTGGCAGTTTTTATTGCAAGAGAACCAGTCTCCTCATTCTGGGTTAGGTCTTGATTTTTCCGGCATAGCCCAGAGGAAGAAGTTATGATTAAAATCTCTGAATGCTAAGAATTGTCTGAGCCCTCTGGCTTGCTTTTTTTTTTTTTAAGGGTTTACCATTTCTTATCAGGTTCCACTAGACCCTCAAGGGGAGGCTTGGTTGAGGTTGGGTTAATTGAGTGTGTATATAAGAGCAGCTTCGGAATCACTATTCTATAGAACTCCACTTGCTCTGAGTGCTTTGATCCTCTGAAGGAAACATGAAGTGGTTTTGGGTCCTGGGACTGGTGGCACTCTCAGAGGCCTTGGTCACGTAAGTCTGGGGACATGGGCTCTCTTTTATTGCTCTTTGTTACCTTCTAGACCTTATTCTCCCACACATCCAGGAGTGCAGAAGGAAACACCATAATTTCTTTTTGTTTTTCAGCTTTGTATTGTGACTTACATGAAAGCTCACAGAGGAAACCAGCTTTTCATTCACCCATGCATACACATTTGCTTTTGTGTTGTGGATTGCAACCCCACAATGTAACAGCACACTTCCCACTTCCTCCCTGGGAATTTCCAGTTATCTTTCCTTCCTATCCCTTCTTGCATTCTGCACTTTCTTCCCTGGGCAAATACTACCCTTGTAATCATTTACTGAGCATCTTATAAAAAGTCCCCACAGTGTGGCTCAGGGGTCTTGGGGCAGGCCTGCAGTGTTGGACTACTCCAGGATTTTAGCACAGTCATGGGCTTTGTGAATGATGCTCCCTGGGATTGTTCAGTGCACGACCTGCGCAACTGTAAGTGTGGTCCGAACTAAGAACGGTGTTTTGCCCACATTTGTTTCTGGGGTTTCTCTTGGTTGTTTCTCTGTATGTGTCTCGGGGTCTCCATCTCTGCTCTTGCTTACTCACTTTCACCCTCTCCTCCTCTCTCCATCTTCCCTCCCTCTCTGGGTATCCTAGGTGTCACACTTGGTTAAATATTTAACTACTTAAACAAAGACTGGTGGTTCAAACTCACCCAGAGGTACCTGAGAAGAAAGGCCTGGTGATCTGCCTCCAAAAGGCCTTGAAAGCCCTATGAAGCAGTTCTGCTCTGCACATGTGGGGGCATCATGAATTGCACTTGGCTTGATCCCAAATGTTTGGGTTTTGTTTGGAGTAGGCAAGATCCCCATGTGTTTCTGTTTTTCACTCTGTCTCTCCTCTCTCATTTCTCCGAACTCTTCATCCCCTAACCTGCTCCCCGCCTCAGCCCCTGTGAGATGTCTCATGTCCTGGCTTCTTCTCTCAGCACTCTCTTCTGGTTGAACCCTGGAAAGAGATCAGGAGATCAGTTTCTAGAGTCTGCTTTACCACTAACCAGCAGCACGACCTCAGCCACATCTGAACTCTGTGTTCAGATTCCTTCGTGGTAAAAAGAGGATGGTGACCTGCTCCATCTCCCTCCTTAGGACTGCTTTGAAATGAGAAGACCACTAGGAATGGCAGCCATTGTCAAGAGTATTGGATCCTTCATCCTATATAATACTCAAAACATTCTATGTCAGACAGATGGAGACCCTGAAGCTCAGAAACGTCCTCTGATTTCCCAAGACGACACAACAGAACCTGGGTTCAAACCTGGAACCAATACTAGAAGCTGTCCTTCGCCTTGGATGGTCTCTACTGGCAATGAGAACATTACCACTGAAAGCGCAACTCCATCATAGGGCATCTGATTTCTATCTCTTCCCTGTTTTCTCTTCAAGGATCCCTTTGAAAAAGATCAAACCATTACGAGAAAGGCTCAGGGAAAAAAACCTGCTGAAAGATTTCCTGGAGAAGCACCCTCATTCTGCGATCTACAAGTATTTTGACAACCCACAGATAGAAGCCATCTCTTCAGAGCCCCTGAGGAACTTCCTAGATGTGAGTGTAATGGGAAGATGGTGTTGCAGAGCGCCCCCTAGTGCTCCTGCTGAGCATTGAGATTCATCTGGGGGTGGGACCCAGGATGTTGGGCTGGTACCCTGGCAACTCTCATTGTTGATCTGTGGTGACCAGGTGGTGGGTAGAGCATCCGTTTCTGTGCCAATGACACATCGCTGGGCACCTGTGAAATATGAACCTGGGTTTGAAGGACTTTGTACTTTCTGAACTAAATTTCTCATTAATTTCTCACTAAGGACAGTAAAACCAAAGTGCAAATCAAGTTTACTGTTCTGGATAGGGGGTACTCAGCCTCTTCAGCTACAAGAACTACATCCATTAAAAGTTACTGAGTGCCGTGGGGAGCACTGTTAGAATAAACTAACATTAAGATAAGCACTGGACTATAATCCCCAAGGTCAGCAGTTCGAGCCCACCAGCCGCTCCTTGGGAGAAAGATAAGGCTTTCTACTCCAGCAAAGCCTTAAAGCCTCAGAAACTCGATACAGTGTCGTTGAGTCTGAACCGACACGATGACACTTAGCAACAACACCATGGTCATTGTTATCAATAGCAAAAGGTTTTGTGTCTTTTACAAGGGGCCCTGGGTAACATAATGGTTAAGTATTCACCTGCTAACCTAAAGGTCGGCAGTATGGGACCACCAGCGGCTTCATAGGAGAATAGACCTGGTTGTCTGTTTCTGTAAAGATTGTTGTTGTGGTTGTTAAGTACCATGGAGTCAGTTCTGACTCATAGCGACCCTGCACAGGGTTTCCGAGGCTGTGAATCTTTACGGGAGCAGAAAACCTCATATTTCTCCCACGGAACAGCTGGTAGTTTCAAACTGCCGACCTTGAAGTTAGCAGGCCGATTTATAACCACTACACCTAAAAAACCCTATGAGACAGTCCTATGGGGACACTGTGAACTGGATTCGACTCAAGGGGACAACAGCAGCATTGTTCTCAAGAGGATACAGCCCAGGCAGAGAGACAGATGGGCAAGGAGCAAAGAGACATCAGATAACAGAGCGTGGTATTGGTATTCCAGGTTTTGAGTTTAGAGGAAGGAGTTTAGGGCCTGGGATGAACCTAGGAGGGCTGCCTAGTGGAGGAATAGTTAAAAGAGTTGCAGGGGTTGACTAGAGAGCTTCTCAAATGAAGGCACTGGTTTGAGCAGAGGCTGTGAGGTGAGGCAGTTGGACATTGAGGTCAGAACAGGGGGCCACCCTAAAGCAGGCAGGCACCCTGAGACTCCGGGGTGGCCAGATCTGCCCTCACTGCCTCTCTTTACCCGAGCAGCTGGCGTACATCGGCACCATTGGCATTGGAACCCCCCCTCAGGATTTCGACGTCATCTTTGACACGGGTTCTACTGACTTGTGGGTCCCCTCAATCTACTGCTTCAGCCCTGCCTGCAGTGAGTAGCCTGTCTTGTTCCCACCTGCCCCCTCCTTGGTCCTTGGAAGCCCTAAGTGATGTCAAGCCTTGTGTCCGCAGCCAACCACAATGCCTTCAACCCTCTGCTGTCCTCCACCTACCAATTCTTGGGTCAATCCATCTCCATTACCTACGGCACTGGGAGTATGAAGGGGTTTCTCTCCAGAGACGTTGTTAAGGTAGGACAAAAGCAGAGGCTCAATTAGGGGCACCTGCTCTTCCCAAAGACCCCCAGCAGCTGGCCACCCAGCCTGTGGGGCTGTGTCTCTGGGGGTAGTGCCCTGTTGCCCCGGCCCCAGAAACTGTAGGACCACCAGGCTGGCAGTCCTTGGGGTCAATGGGTTTGCAGCCCCTATTCTCAAAGTTGGACCAAGGGAGACTTTTACCAGGAGCGTGGAGAGAGGTAGGCAAACTTATCTATTTATGTGTGTGTGTGTGTGTGTGCAATAAAAAATATATACATAAAACATTCACCAGTACAGCCACCACATTAATAATTCAATAATATTGGTGGCAATTCTCTTTGTTGCATCACTGTTGCTTTTGTTAAATGCCATCAAGTCAGTTGTTACTCACAACAACCCTATATAACACTTCCAAGGAGTGGCTGGTGGATTTGAACCACTGACCTTGTAGTTAGCATGTATCACTACTCTTTTCCAACGTCTTCTACCACTATTAACATAAGCTCAATGCTTTCCAAACAAAAACTCCCTTTCCCCCTCCTGCCCATCTCTGGTAAGTGTCAATAACCTTTGGTTTCCATAAATTTGCTTATTTTATGTTCATTGTGTAGTATTTGTTCTTTTTCAACTATTTGCTCCACATAATGTTACAGAGGTTCATCCATGTTGTGGTATGCATCACAGCTTCATTTGTCTGTTTTATAGTTCCATAATACTCCATCATATGTATCTACCTTTTTTCTTTATCCATTCATCTGTTGGTGAATAGTTCGGTTGTTTCCACCTTTTGACTTTTGTCAAAAGTGCTACAATGATGAACAGGCTTTGTTTGCATCCCTGCCTTCACTTTGTCTCAGATTCGGTTGCTGAGTCATATGGTCATTCTATGTTCAACTTTTTGAGGAAAAGGGAAACTTTTCCATCGTGGCTGTATCATTTTACATCCTCATCTTCCATGGCTGAGGGCTCCAGTTTCTTTACAACCTTTGGCAATACTTGCTTTTAATCACTATCGTTCTAATGGGGGTAAGATGATAATTTATCATGGTTACAATTAGCATCTCTCTACAATGGTTCACTAAGGAGCTCTTGTAGCTTAGTGGTTACGAATCGGGCTGCGAACCTTAGGGTTAGCAGTTCAAAACTACCAGCTGTTCCATGGGAGAAAGATGAGGCTTTCTGCTCCAGTAAAGATTTGCAGCCTTGGAAACCCTGTACAGGGTCGCTATGGTTCAGAATTACAACAACAATAATGGGTCACTATGAGTTAGGATGGATTTGAGGGCATCTAGCAAAGCCATTTGAACTGCAAGGTCAGTAATTCAAGCTCACCAGCTGCTTCTAGGAAGCCCTATACAGGGTCGCTGTGGGTCAGAACTGACACAACGGCACTTCACAACCACAATAATAATGACTAAAGATGTTGAGCATTTTTTCATGTGCTTGTTGAACATTTGCATGTCCTCTGGTGAATTATCTGTCTGTTCAAGTCTTTTGCCTACTTTTTGTTTTTAATTGAGTTGTTTATCTTTTTGTTAAGTTGTAGACTATATAGAGATATACTCTATCCCATTGGTCTATAGGTCCCATTGCCGTACTAGTACCCGGCTGTTTTATTGACTGTAAGCTTATAATGGAGCCCTGGCCAGGCGCTGCTGGTTAATGCGCTGGAATGCAAAGTCAGTTTGAAACTCAAGGTTGGCAGTTCAAACTCACCAACCACGCCTCAGAAACCCTATACAGGGTCTCTATGAGTCAGAACCGACTCAACGGCCCTTAACAACAACAAGGGTTTCTAGTATGTTTTGAAATCCGGAAGTATCAGTCCTCGTCCTTCAGTCTTCTGACTCATGATGAGCCTGTAGGTCAGAGGAGAATGATCCCCATTGTTTCCAAGGCTGTAATCTTTATAGGAGCATACAGCCACATCGTTCTCCTCCAGAGCAGCTGTTGGTATGAACCACTGACTTTTCACTTAGGGGCCAACTGTACTACCAGGGTTCCTTACTAGAAGCTGAAACAGACAAGGACCTCCCCTTAGAACCAAGCCCTGAGTTCAGACTTCTAGCCTCCTGAACTGTGAGAAAGTCTATTTCTGTTGTTGAAAGCCATCCCCTTGTGGCGCCACTGAGACGCACACTTACATCCAAAAGAGTGCTTCCCAGACAGAATTTTCATAGGAAACATGTCAGCTTGCACAG